GAAAAGAACTGCTTTTTGCAATGCTGCCTTCCTGAGCACAGGACCTTTGCACTGAGCCATGTTCCTTGCACAGCACCCGCCCCTTTTATTCTGAGGCAGGATCTTCCTATGCCATGAAGTAGCTAGCAGTTTTTGGGCTCAATCTTTTGATCCTGTTTCCTCAGGCTCTCAAAGAGTGCTGGGATTTCAGGCATGTACCATCACACCCAGCTCCTTATTTTATTTTGAGACAGTCTTATTACATTATGTAGGCTATGGGCCGGGAATTTAGTTCAGTGGTGCCACTGCCTGCCTTGTAAGCACAAGGAACTGAGTTCAATCCCTGGTACCAAAAAAAAAAAAGTGTAGGCTGTTCTTGAACTCTACAGCATCCTAAGTAGAGTAATGAGGATTATAGGCATACATCACCATACCTGGCCCCAAGGAGTTGTGAATTACTTTATCCTAGATGCTTACTTGTTTAAAGAAACTATTACTAAGTTCACTATGTACACATTAAATGTAAAACAACCATGTTCATACGAAAAAAGCCGTGGCACATACACTGACAATGTGAAGTGAATCAGGTTTGTAACTACTTTTTGTTTTAGCTTGTCAAGACAGGGTCTCACTATGTAGTTCAGGCTGGCCTTGAATTTACATTGATCCTCAGCCTCCACAGTGGTGGGGTTGTAAGCTTGTGCCACCCACGCCGTTTTATGATTACGTTTTATACTGCAAATTAACATTAAAAACTAGAAAGGAAATTCTTTTTTGGGAGCTTACCAGGGATCAAACTCAGGACCTTGCGCTTACAAGGTAGGCAGCGGAACCACTGAGCTAAATCCCTGGCCCAAAAGGAAATTTGTTCCCATGAGTGCAAATATACTGAAAATAAGGTGAAAGCAGTAAAAAAAAAAACTCCATTTCCCATTTCTGTACATGACATCAGCAATATTCAGTTATGAAAAATTAAACCCAGGAAAGTAAACCATTTACCAGAATTATGGAAATATGTTACTAAAAGAATTTTTCTTTAAATAAAAAGGGCTTCTAATTTAACAAAATTGTGGTATTTAACAAATACTGGCTCTGTAAAGTCCACTATTTGAGAAGCTGAGTTAAGAGGTCCGAGAGTTCAAGGCCAGCCTGGGCATATTAGTGAGGCCCCTGGCTGGGGAAGTAGCTCAAGGGCACTAAGCCTGCCTTTCAAGTGCAAGGTCCTGATTTTGATGCCTGGTACGCAGGGGAAAATAAATAAGTTAAAAACAAACAAACAAACAAACAAACAAAAAAAAACCCACTGTTTTTTTGGGAAACAGGTCTTGCTACGTAGCACAGGCTAGCCTCAAACTCACAGCGATCCTCCTGCCTCAGCCTCCAGAGTGCTGGGATTAGAGGCATGACCCATCATGCCTGGATCAAAATAAAATTTTATAAAAGTAGGAGTGGGTGAGGGAGGGTAAACAGAAGTATAAAGAGAATTAAGATGTGTTACATACACATAACCAGCTAGCCACAACAAATGTTATCGTATACTAAAAAGCATTTTAGAAAAAAAAATTACTGAGGTTGTAGCTCATTGGTAGAGCGCTTGCTTGTCTAGGATACAGAGGCACTGGGTATAATCCCCAGTACTAGAGGCAAAAAAAAAGACAGAAGGAAGAAAAAAAGGTAGGTGTGGAGGTATACCTTGTTATCCCACTAGTTTGGAAGGCTCAGGTAGGAGGATTCTAAACATAAGCCCAGCCTACACATAGACCCAAAATATATCATAAAGCCAACCACAAGAGCACACAACTGCAGCCTCAGCATTCTAGGGTTGAAGTAGGAAGAGTACAACAAGTTCAAGTCTCGTCTGGGCAACTTAGTGCAACCCTGTCCCAAAACTTAAAGAGCTGGGAACATGGCTCAACACAAAAGCCTTGGGTTCAGGTCGGGGATTTAGCTCAGTGGTGCTGCGTCAACACAAGGTCCCAAGTTCAATCTCCAGTACCAAAAACAAAACAAAACAAAACAAAACCCTTGGGTTCAATACCCAACACCCCCCCCAACCCAAAACCAAAAATAGGTATATGACATTCTAAAACAAATCCATTTGGGGAGGGGGATTTAGCTAGTAGCACCACACCTGCCTTACAAGCTCAAGGTCCTGAGTTCAATCCCTGGTACAAGGAAAAACAAAACAAAACAAAACAAAAACATTCTAATCTCATGAATGAAATTCCAAATTAAACTGGGCATAGTGGGTATGACTATAACCCCAGCCTTCTGGGAGGTTGAAGCAGAAGGATACTAAATTCAAAGGCAGCCTGGCACCTTTTTTTCCCCTGGTACCAAGGATCAAACTCAGGGCCTTGCTCTTGCCAGGCAGTTGTGGTGCCACTGAGTTACATCCCAGGCCCTACACTGGCACTTTAACAAAGCCCTGTATCTATCAATCAAACAATCAATCAATCAATTAATCAATCGATCAATTAATGGTTTAGATTTCTGTATTCAAACTCCAGTACCACAAAATAAGTCCAGGATGGTCCTGAATTGACTCTCCTCCCTTAGAATCTTAAGTGATGGGAATATAGGCATGTGCCACAACATTCAGTTGAAATGTTACGTTTGTTTTTTCATGAAAAAAATTTTTTTTTGGTACCAGGGATCAAACTCAGGTTCTTGCGTTTGCAAGGTAGGCGGCAGAACCACTGAGCTAAATCCCTTTTTCATGAAATTTTAATTGCCTTAGAAAACAGACCATTTTCCCTTATTTATCAAGAGAATGCAGCACCTCCTTGTGGCTGCAAAATGTAACTGCTTCATGGTGACTTGCCAATGGAAATTTCAATATTCTCTGCAGCAGAACTCATATGTAAGTTAGATCTTTGAAAAATTATTAACAAAACATCTGGATGTGCAACATCACCCATGCCATGTTCTTCATGGTGGATAAAACTGAAATTTAAAAGTATAAAAGATCTACACAGGCAAAGTGATGTGTGCCTATAATCTTATCACTCAAGAGTCAGGATTTTAAAAAATCAGTATTGCCATAAGTTTAAACCTCAGCCTCTGTCATATTAGATCATCTTGGCCCATTTCAATTTCCTGATTAGCTAGGATTTCAGGCATCTACCTGTACACTCAGTCTGTAAATCTTAAATAGAAGTGTGAAGGGTAAAAATCTCTGCCATAGATGACTGCCCCACCCAATCCCATATGAAATATCAGAATAAACTGAAATGATACAAAATTAAGGAATCAGAGACGAGTCTTTGGTAATAAATTGTCTTTTTTTTTTTTTTGGAGACAGGCTCTCATTATGTAACCCAGGTTGGCCTTGAACACCCCAGAGACTACGCTGGGATCAAATTCCCTATCCTCCTGCCTCAGCCTATGAAGTGTTTGGATCACATGCCTGCTTGTCTGTTCTTAGGGTTTGAAAAGCCACTTATCAAAAGCTCTCCCTAGCCAGGCATGGTGGCACATGCCTGTAATCCCAGCACTCGGGAGGCTGAGGCAGGAGGATCGCTTTGAATTCAAAACCATCCTGGGCTACAGAGTGAGTTCCAGGTCAGTCTTAACTACACAGTGAGACCCTGTCTCAAAAAAACCAAAAAAGCTCTCCCAGCCAGGCATGATGGTACATGCCTATAGTACCAGCACTTGGGAGTTTAAGGCCAGCTTGGACTAAACAGTGAGACCCTGTCTCAAAAACAAAACCAAAAGCTCTCCCTAGAACCAAGACATATCATGTAAAGGTACAAGATCCCAATGATAAAATGTAACTGTACTGTTTGCTTTAAATGTACCAATAAAAGGAAAAAAAAAAAAAAAGCTCTCTCTGTTAAGCTAAACTACAAAGATAACTGGCACTAGAAGCCATTAGTTTCCAAAAATAAATAAAAGTAAATTCAAGTCAGTATAAAGAGCTAAATCAGGATGAATTATCTGAGCAACAAAAAGAAAAAGACAAAAAACTTCACTTTAATAAAGGAGTTTTAATTATCTCCTCTAAGTAACACTGGTAACAAGAATAAATAACACTAGCAACAAGAAAAACAGGATTTATTAACTAAATGATTTATTCCTTTTACTCAGTGGTAACTGGATAATTGAAGAAAAGAGGCTCAGTGGTTCCGCCAGGCCAAGTGGTTCTGCCACCTGCCTCACAAGTACAAAGTCCCAAAATCAATCCCTAGTACCACCCCCCAAAAAAAACACACGGGCAAACCAGGTATGGTGGAACACATCTGTAATCCCAGCACTTGGGAGGCTGAGGCGGGAGGGATCCTAAATTGGAGCCCAATCTGGGCAATTTAGCAACTTAGCAAAACCTTGTCTTAAAATACAAAGTATGAAGCCCATAGGTTAAATCGTTAGTAATGCAAAATCCAGTATGAAGGCCCTGGATTCAATCCCCAGTACCACAAAAACAAAACAGAAAACCCACTGGTATGGCCAGGAATAGCAATACATGCCTACATTCTCAGCACTCGGGAGGCCAAGGCAGAAGTTGCCACTGAGTTGGAGGCCAGCCTGGGGTACATAGTGAATTCAAGGCCAGCCTGAACTACACAGCAAGACTTTGTCTCAAAGAAAAATAAAAAATAAAAAATAAAAAAAATTGGTGCTACTCAGGAAGTGTGGCAGGATGATCTGAACTTCAAAGTGAGTCTGGGAAACTTAGCTAGTCTATCTCAAAATGAAAAATAGGTCCTGCCTCACAAGTGCAAGGTCCTGAGTTCGATCACTGGTACAGGGTAGCGGGGAGGGCTGGGGATGGTATGAGAACACCCACTGTGAGATTTTGAGTTTTTCTAGGCCAACCTGAGCTTCAAGGCCAGCCTGAACTACACAGCCAGACCTTGTCTCAAGAAACCAAAATACAAGTAGGGATAGGAGAAAGGAAAGAAGGGAAAAGAAAAAAATATGAGAAAAGGAAAAAACGGAGACAGTCTTTGTAAATAGGGAAGGGTGGAGGAAGTGAAGGTAGAGCAGGGGATAGGGGAAAAAATAAGAACCAAGATGTGCTTGCTTCAGCAGCACATATACTAAAATTGGAGCAATACAGAGAAGATTAGCACAGCCCCTGCCCAAGGATGACACACAAATTTATGAAGTGTTCCATTAAAAAAAAAAGAACCAAGAAACTAAAATACAGAATCAAACCAAACAAACCCTTTAGGATTTTCTGCATCTGTTCCTGTTGTTTTTATCATCTCCTTTGGCAGTGTTCCAGTTTCCAATTCTGCAAGAACCAGCCAGGCATGGTGGTGCACACCTATAATCCCAGTGCTCAGGAGGATCACTATGAGTTTGAGGCCAGCCTGAATTACATAGCAAGTCCTTGTCTCAAAAAATAAAATGTTAACAAATTCATAAAATGGCTTAAAACACTGTAATTAGGAGTAATCTTTACCTGTGCAGGTGTGTCTGTTTCATTAATTGGCTGTCCATCAAATCGGAATCTGATCTGCCTCATTGACAAACCCTGCAGTTTAAAACAACAATCAGCACATAAATATTAAGTACATCACTTAGATAAAAACTATGTATATTAAACCCTGAATATATAAGACATCCAAATAAACCGCCACCACTGTTAAGATATCTATGTGGATAAAATGACCTGGAGTGACTATAAGATACAGCACATTAGGGGATGGTGAAGCTCACCTATAATCCTAGCACTAAAGCAGGAAGCTAACTTCAAGTCCTACCTGTGCAATTTAGTGAGATTCTGTCTCAAAATATTTTAAAAGTGGGACGGGGACTTAGCTCAGTGTTACCACTGCCTGCCTTGCAAGCTCAAGGTCCTGAGTTTGATCCCCAGTACCAAAAATAAATATAAATTAATTAAATTAATTTAAAAAGGGCTGGGAATGGTGACACATGCCTGTAACTCCAGCACTTAGGAGACTGAGGCAGGAAGATTTTCAAGCGTTCCAGGCCAGCCTGAACTAGTCAGACCTTGTCTCAAAAAAAAAAAGGCTAAGGATCTAGCTCAGTGGTGCCGCCACCCACTTCTCACGAGCAAGTTCCTGACTTTGATCACTGGGTACCAAAAGTTGGGGAAAAAAAAAAAGGCTCAATGATAACCCTGGATTTGATTCCCAGTATGATGTACACACACAGTAAATCAGGGCCTCCACACAGCTACGTTCCCAGCCCACCCCCACTTGGTTTTGAACTATATAGCCCAGGAAGGCCTCAAACTCGGATCAAACCTCAGCCTCAGGAGTGCGGAGGACTACAGGGAGCACCACATGCCCAGCCACAGCCCCCCTTCAAAATTATGAGACAGGAGCCAGGCGTGGTAGCACACACCTATAATCCCAGCATTCAGGAGGCTAAGGCAGGAGGATCACTGTGAGTTCGAGACCAGCCTGGTCTACACAGCGAGTTCCAGGTCAGTCTCAACTACATAGTGAGACCCTGTCTCGAAAAACCAAAACCAAAACCAAATAAAACAAAAAAAAAACTTATGAGGCAGGAGGCAGGGTCTGGCTAAAATTCTTAAGCTAGGCTTATACTTGTGACCCTCCTACCTCAGTCTCCCCCAAGTGCTGGAATGATAGGCATGTGCCACCATCAGTTTGTTTTTTGAGACAGGGTCTCTGTAGTTCAGACCAGCCTTGAATTCAATACTGCCCAGGCTTATCTCAAACTTGAGGTGATCCTCCTGCCTCTGCCTTCCAAGTGTTAGAAATTAAAGGCATGTGCCACCAAAAATTTACTAAATCACTTTTTTGAAAAAGCTTTACTTGGGCCAGGGATTTGGCTCTGTGGTTCCGCCACCTGCCTCACAAGGGCCAAAATTTGGTCCCTAGTACCAAAAACAAACAAAAAAAGCTTTACTGCAGGGCTGGGATGTATGTCAGGGGCATAGCATTTGCCCAGAGTGCTCAAGGCTGTAAGTTTGATTCCTGATACCCACTTAAAAAAAAAAAAAAAAAGGATTGGGGATTTAGCTCAGTAATGCTGTGCCTGCCTCACAAGCATCCTGAGTTTCATCCCCAGTACCATCACCTTTAAAAAAAAGATTATTAGTTTTTCACAACATAACTTGAAACAAGCATTGCACTTACATGAAAAAGACACAGAAGTTTTACTTTTTGGTATTTCTGAGACAGGGTATTGTTACATAGTTTAGGCTTGAACTATGTAGCTGAAATTGGTCTGGAACTACCAAACCAATTCTCCTTCCTCAGCCTCCCTAGTGCTGGGAAATCATGTGCCACCTTGCCCAGCAGAAATAAAATGTAAAGTAACAAATTAATTTGTAAACATTTCCAAAAAGGAGGTCAGGAATCCATCACAGGCTTAATAATGAAAACTGAAGGTCACCAAAAAGGTTCGGGTGGTGGTAATGAAAAAAGTTTCATGGGCCAGAGTTTTAGCTCAGTGGCACAGTGCCTGCCTGAAAGGTTTGATCCCCAATACCAAAAGACAAAGAAGAAACAGGAGTTTCGTTTCTTTTTTTTTTTTTTTTTTTTGGTACCGGGGATTGAACTTGGGTCCTTGTGCTTGCAAGGCAGGTCACCGAACCGCTGAGCTAAATCCCCGGCCCAGGAGTTTCATTTCTACCCAGTCCCTTCCCACTCATAGCACAATTCCAGGTGTATGCCACGTACTAAATTTGTTCTTATCCTTGATGTCAAGACACATCCACCAGAAGACAGAGTTAAGTGTCTTTAAAAACACTTGTAAGCTGGGTAGAATGGTTGGTATATGATTGTAATCCCAGCCCTCCTGAAACTTAAGGCAGGATGACAAATTCAAGCCCAGCATGGGGAACTGAGCAACACTGTCTCAAAAAAGGGAGGAGGTGCTGGGGACAGAGCTCAGCATGAAGGCCCTATGAAAGGCAGGATGACAAATTCAAGCCCAGCATGGGGAACGAGCAACACTGTCTCAAAAAAGGGAGGAGGTGCTGGGGACAGAGCTCAGCATGAAGGCCCTATGTTCAATCCCCAGTACCACCCAAAAAAGGAAGGGAGGAGACTGGCTTCAAAATATCTTTCATTATTCAGGGCGGGAAGATAAATGGGCCTAAACATGCCCATATTCTAAAACAGATTCCAGTGTTTTACTCAAGCATTACTTACCTGAGAAAGGGGTGAGGAGAGGGGAAAAGAAGCAAAGATGTTGGCAATAATAGCCAAGTGATGACAAGACAGGAAAATAAAGTACCTTTGGATTTATGTTGTGAATAATCACTCCTGTAACATGTTCAAATTATGACCTCTAATTGTTATATAGACTCCCACAATTATCAATACTAACAAAATTTAAATTGCACCCCTAGTATCAAAGATACTAAAAAATACAGTACTGCTCTTAGTATTAAAGATACTTAAAAGTTCTCAATAATAAACATTTGTAGCAAGTCAGAGGGGCTACTTCTGTAATCCCAGATAATCAGAAAGCTAAAGCAAGAGGATCCCAAATTCCTGGCCATCCTGGGCATCAAAATAAAGGGGTAAGAATGTAGCTCAACGACAGAGCACTTTTGGGTTGGATCCCTTGTACATAAAATAAATGAACATTTGAGTAACGTCTGTATTCCCTTATTTAACAAGACATCATTAAATCTGTTTTAAAATCTTATCCATAACACGGCCAGGGATTTAGCTCAGTGGCACAGCACCAGACTGGCAAGCATGAAGTACTGAGCTCAATCCCTGGTACCCCCAAAAAACTACCCATAGCAAGATACTGCTTTCCTTTAAAATGCTATTATAAGTGATACCACTTGTAGACCATATCTTGTCTTGCTTGAAATAATACAATCAATCCCCTAGCAGGCAGGTCACACACACACACACACACACACACACACACACACACACACACACACACACACACACACGCACACATTTTTTTTTTAACCAGGGATTGAACTCAGGGCCTTGCGCCTGTGAGACAGACTGCGGCACCACTGAGCTAAATCCCTGGCCCAGACACCTGTAATTTTTAATTCATTGCTTAAAACATTTCAACTTAATCTGTGATTACAGAAAGCAACAAAGAATTCAATACCAAGCCATTAACTGCTAAATATTTTATATTTGCAAACATTCCATAGAAGATAGATTCCTTGCTTCCACAAAATACTAAGTGGGCTGGGGATTTAGCTCAGTGGTGCCACTGCCTGCCTCCCAGGCACAAGGTCAAGTTTGATCCCCAGTAGCAAAAAACCGCCCCCAAAACAAAAAACTAAGCACCACCAGATGTGGTGTTACACACATGGAATTCTAGCACTCCAACTGGAAGGCTGAGGCAGGAGAATAGCTCTCCCTTAAGTTCAAGGCCAGTCTGAACTACATAGTTGAGTTCAAGACCAGCCTGTATTTTATAGGGAGACCCTGTCTCAAAAAACAACAACAACAACAAAAAATACTAAGCACCTTCTGTATGCTGGATTCTTCCTCCATTACATCCACTGATAAGGTCAAAAATATGACCATTCCCCCCCAAAAAAAAGGCAGGACCAGAATTACAAAAAAAAAAGGAAGTTGTATTCCTTTATTACCACTTCTATTTTTGAGAATTGAAAAGGCATACAGAATGTCTCAAAGAGCAACAGAAATAGAACCTTGAAAGCCCCAACATGAAATATATTCCAATTAAACCACTTATAGACACCCAAAATTTCTTTTAGTTTCCTATAACTATTTTGTCAGATAATTCAATTCCTTTTTATTATTTTTCTTCTTTGGTACCAGGAATAGAACTCAGGACCTTGCACCTGTGAGGCAGGCAGGGCTCCACTAAGCTAACTCCCTACCTAGCCTTTTGATTTTTCTTATCAAAGGAAGTTCTCCACTTGCTTCGGATTTCCAAGAGATCAAGACCAAAGGAAATGTGCCTTTAAGATTACATAACCTAGGGCTGGGGATGTGGTTCAGTGGCGCTTAGTCTGCCTGGCAAGTGAAAGGTCCTGAGTTTGATTCCCTGTACTATGGGGGGAAAAAAAAGATTACATAAACCAGAACTTGGGCTCCCCTTCAGTACAAATTTCATAGCTGATTTAGCTAAGCCCTGAGACTTACAAAATCCCCTTAGGTCCCTGTCTATTCATTTCAAAAAATGACATGAACCCAATGATTTTGTGCTCTCAGAAACTGCCCA